GGATTCGACTTAGATAGTTCACAAGCATTCAACCATCACCGTACACGATTGATCATCAAAGCACACGAATAGCGAACGATCTTCGCCGCAACCAATAGCTGTCGAATTGGAGTCTTATGGATGCAGAGGCACGACGGATAATATATCTGTATCCGTATCCGTATGTCATGTCAACATATCCGAACGAGCCGATAAACTGCGAGATAGTTAGCAAGAACGGGGGCTTTACGTCAAGCGGCAAATCAAGTCACCGCCCATATGATCATTGAAGGCGCTTGGTTGAATATGTACATGAATTAGACCTCCGCAAGCCAGATAGCAACAAATTGAAAATTTATTTTGGGTTCAAACGCCCCCCCCTTCCCAAATGGCATACCTTTGCACGTTTGGATAAGGACAAGAAAGCTCCATCCAAGCACGACGGACAAGTATCGATGGATCCTGTTAGTTCCATTTTCTTCATTAGGAGTTTTCATACTGCCGGAGATGAGAACATCTTGCGATCAAACCATCATGCCATCACAGATGGAGACTTTGGATATGTATATGTCGCTCATCATCAAAGGCCTCTTCTGCTCATTGCTTTCTCATTGCTTTCTCATTGCTTTCTCATTGCGGCACATATCAAAAACTGCAGTTGTCTGAGCGAGCGGATCGGTTGGCTTGCGCCTCTGACACCCTTGCCAAGGGTGACACCAAATTTACCAGCTGTCCAACACAACTTTAGTACCAGCTGATAGAATCTGAGCAAAATATGGTTAGCACACTTGTACGAAAATCATAGTGACTCAGCCTCAGGATAATTCACGTTCATCAATATCAGAGAGAAGATTATGTATTCGTCCTGGCCAGAAACCAAAATGTCTTTTTTGAACTTCGTTCCTGGGAGAGGAAAGAAGGCGAAGACAGGATGGATCCGACATACGATTAAGGATGACGATACGAATATTTTCATCATTGCGTTCGCTATCTGTCAGGGAAGGGTATGCACGTACATTGGACATGCTGCTGCGGCAGGTAACAGTGAGCATCCAAGTCGCAAAGTTCGGTTGGCTTGCAATGGTGAAACATCCCCGTTGAGACAGCGTTTTGCAGGATTCCCACGGCTTGCTATCTGTTGCCGCCGCTGACAGTTTGTCACAGTCGTTGTGGACTACTGGGCTATAGTTATGCCTAATCGTCGTAGCTGACCAAGCGTCGGCCAAAAGGATTCGTGTCGGTTGACAATTGTTTCTGAGAATTTCCTAAGGCGTTTCTTTGGTCCACATTCTTCAGCGAGTTTCTGGCAATTTTATCCGAATCTTGGATTGTGGCTTCTTCCGTTTCTTCCGTTGACCGCTTGTCCAGCTCGTGACATGATTTCCCGGTGCTTTCGAAGCTCTCCTGTTCATGTTCCTGTGAAGCTTGGCTATATTCATTGGCCGCCAACTGGCCCGCAACGGTTAAAGAGCTCCTGGTTGTGTCAGCTGAGGATTTGCCTTCAGCTGGTTCTCTGCTAGCTATCCCTTTCTGTCTCCTCTCGCGCTGCAACTTTTGTATCTCGCTGTGCCTAAAGATTTCGATCTGCTGGTCTGTAAGGGTTCGTTTGGTGCCATCCGGGTAGTATCCCAGATCATCATCATCCAGGTGTTCGGAATCCGTTACCGGTATCAGGGAGTGCAGTGTGTTATTGTTGTTGCATTGCAGGAAATGGCGGACCTTGAATTCATGGAGATCATGCTTTTTTTAACATCCCCTCTGGTTAGCTTTGGGAATTCAATTAGGGGGGTACAAGATGCATACGAGTGTGACCGTAACCTGCGGTGGTTGATATGACATTGGGATAAGGCCCTAAGGTTGTCAACCGTTCCGTATTCTTTCCAAGTTCAATACACAGGCCTGGCAGATACCTTTCAAAGATAATTGATTTCACTGACAGGAGTTTGGTCAAAACAAAGAGTGAGATATGGTTTCACAAAGGCGGTCGCCATGGGCCGGGGCCTCTTTTTTTCCGACTGTTTAGTTAGCAACCCTAACCGAACGGCTTCTAACGCCGTTCAAAGTCAATTATTCCCCTTGAACAACTCCGTTTCCGAATCCTTGAATCATGCTGATGCTGCTTACAATTGATGATGTCTGGCAATAGGGGTTGGGCCTGAACGGGGGGCTCACGGGACCAGTCAGTTGGTATTTGACATGGCTACCTGTCGCGAGCGCTGAAGGGTCCCTTTATAATATCACTTCCTACATCCAGCACTCCTAGGCAATGTTTCCTGCAAGCCACTGGGTAAACAATGTTGTCTGGTCAGGCTAATAACAACGCATTTCAACAAAAGGGAAGTCAAGGCGGCCCTGAGGTCAGGGTGACGACGCACGCTATTAGGCCGGGTGGGGGCCCGCCCAAGCCGCTGTCTAGAAATCACAGACCATTCGAAGCACTACGTAATTCCCAGGATGTTTTGCCTCAAACCAAACCATTATTATTGGATGGATTAACTATTTACATTGCCAATAGGCACTTGCTGCGTTTCCGACGACCCGCACGCATTGCGCAAATCAACTAACGAACCTGACTCGCCTCGTGAATTTTGGGACATATCATAAACATATCAAGCTCAACAACAGGGTATCCAAACATGGCCGAGAATTCAATAGCCTTGAATGATCAAATAAATAAAAGCTACCCCTTTAAATCTACAGTCCACAGAACCCACCTTCATCGAGAACCAGAGTTGGAAGCTCGAGATTGTGGATGATATTACCAATTCTGAGCTTCACACTGGTAAAGGGGATTTCGATTTCCTTAACTTTGTGCAGCTCCACCGACGCAACCCGCTCCTTATCTTCCAGTGACGGTTCTGCAAGGCTCCATGCGATAGATACATGGAAGTAATCAGAATAATCTGCTACGGCTAGAGAAGAAGTTGACCTCGGCCCCGTGGACTTTTCAGTATCGTGTTTCTTCGTCTGCGTGTTTACTAGGGCTTCATCATGATAAAGCGGTGGTTGCTGGAAGGCGGCCAAAGACTTGTTCGAGATGGCCAACAGGCGATTCAGCTCGTTATTTGTCGGTTTTGTAACCCGCAACACAAGAAACCACCGCGTCTCCTCAAAGTTTGACACCCAGTCTAACCCAACCGGTTTCACATGAAACCTTAACAACATTCATCAGATCATTCATAGCCAACAAGGACAATTTCAAAATGTGATGGTTTCATATATACACAGAGCGCACACGAAGACTTACGGACGAATATCAGATTCACGCAGTGCATCGGTGAGCAAGTCTCTAAAAGGTTGTCTGTCTTCCGTGAGAAGCATAACGGGACGTGACAGGCTAATATGCAGCTGTACTTGGGCACCAAGATCGGTGTGCAGCAAGCCATGGATTGTCGACTGGAGTTTCTGATCACACCGAGCTATCGCCTCTTCAAGAATAGCTAGCTCTGTTGGTGCAGGGAACCCTCCAACAACGCAGCAAATCAGTTTGGCGAACAGGGCCGAGGGAACCATCAAAAGAAGACAAAGAAAAAAAGAAACTATGAACTTAATGCAACTGGTTGGAGTAGCGACAAAGGGGAAAAGTGGGAAGTGATAAGATAATAAAATATAACACACATTCGAGATAAATATGGGTAGGCCAGTTTCCAGCAACATGCGGCATAATTCTCTTGCGTCCGTGATGGAGACTGGGGTCGTCCTGGACACTAAGTCGCGAATTGGTTGCATAGAGATCCAAAAATTCGGAGGGCAATGGGGGTAAAGTGGTATTCCCGCTGTTTCCATCACCGTTGCTACTCCTGTCGTTGTTCCTATCAGTGTGCTGTAGTTTCTGGGGCCGCTTTGAGAGTTTTGTCACTGTTGGATGGGTATCTCGTCGAGGGCTGTTGTCGTTCTCGTCGGATTCCGAATCGGAGTATTGCACGAGTGACATGGTCTGTCAATTTATTGCAGGTCGTTGGATGTGGAGGCAGTAGGTATTTTGCCTCCACTATCGGACTTTCTAAAGGTGTCAAAGTGTTCAAACAACTAACAGTTATAGGGGGTTCCTTTGTGGTGTTGATAACTACTCAGATCTTTGGAACATCGATGCTGCATCCCTCTGGATCACATGACATGGAAGTTATCAGATCAGACTCTTCTAGACTACGGAGTAGGTCAACCCAGAAATCAAATTCTCTAACCATAGCATATGCTGACCATCAATATGGCTAGAACTTTGATAGAGTTCAGCCGCTATTCTTATCTTCTTGAAGATACATGTCATTGCAATAGTATTTTTCTTATATAGCTGTAAACATATGCTGATCATTGTCAGTCATTTAGACGACTATCTTGTTGGCATTGGCAACGCCGTTGAACATAGTTTAAATTTGTAAGGTGATTCTAACCAGGATGAGAAAGAGCTGCTGTAGTTTTCTGTGGCTCAAGCGTGGGAAAGTTAGCCTTCTTGAATATAGTCACGTGATATATACACTACCTAATCTACCTCGTGGATCGAAGTACGCCGCGTAGGACTCCAACAATAGTCCTCTTCGCACGATGTTGTTGCAATTTTTATGTTATCAATTGTCATCTTCATTGACCGACTTGCCCTGATTCAAAATAGCGGAGTGCATCAGGCTTCAACATGAAGTTCGTTTATGAATAAACTACATTACAGAATTTGGCTTTCGTTATCAAAGGTGGCACCAAGAACTTCCATGGAAGCAAGGAAGCTTGTTGCACAGCCTTCGTGGCTCTGCTCACCATGAGTATGAGGAATCTCGATCCTGAATCAAGGGAAATGAATTCTCATGTTGATAGACGTTTTGGGGATTTATCTGCAGGTTCATTTCAATCTCACGACAGCATGGGGCATGAAGCTCTAAACTTATATCGAAGTGGGGTCGATTTCTTCCAAGATAACTAGACGGAAATACCCCGTTAATAATAATAATGTCTGCAGACTTGGTTTGAACCAGTCTGTGCCACCTGCTATATTCTAAAAATGGTATGTGGCTTGAGGTCATCACCGAGCTACTTTCGCCGTGGCCCACCAATGAGTTTACCAGAATAGATGTCGGTTGATTCCTCAAGCGGGAGACGCCCCGTGGTTCCTCCTGGCATGGCGGTGTTCGCGGCAATCAAGCCCCGCCCCACTGTCTCCAAGCTGAACAGAAGTATCTATATATATGCGTCATAGATCCCTTCTTATCTATTTCAATCGTTTATTGAAATAAAGATAATATATCGACAGAAAATCCTTGTACCTTTATATCATTCTCTTTCTCTTCAACAATCATCAAAAGTACTAGTATATATAATACCCCCCCATCGCTGGCACATACCAGCTCGCCACCTCAAGCCCAATTACTCCAGGAGATCAAACCATCTACAACAAATTAGAAAGCTCTCAAAAAGCAAGTGAGCTTCTTCTCCCTGCTCCAACAGAAGAATATCCACCCACCATCACCCACGAAAGACACCATGGTCTCTTCACCCGCTTCAACAAGGCCTTCGCCACCACCATACTCTCCCATCAACCATCCCCACTCACATTCCCGCTCCAACTCCAACTCCTCCACACACAGTCGGACAAGGATACGGCCCAGCAGCACCTACCTCCCACCCGATGTCATCGACTTCCTGGATGACATCACCCCCTACCACTACCACCACGAAGGGCCCTATGATGCTGCCAGTCACCACAGGAACAGATCCTGCCACAACAGAAATCCCATTGACGCTCTCAAGTCATCCAACGAGGAAGCGCTGAAGGCGACCCCGCCAGGCAAAATCGCGGATTGCATCTGGAATTCCCGCCCGCTGGACGGGGTGGCTTATTACCCACCAGGCTCGACGGATCCGGAGGGGAACACGTATGATTATGAGGAAGGGTCGAACATGATGACGGAGGATCGCGGGGATTTTAGGAGGTGGCCAGGAATGGTACGTTATATCTTTTATTATATATATATCTATACATCTATCTCTCAGTTGGTTCTCTTGTACTAACTGCGTCTTTTTGCTTACAGAAATTCCGCGATGAGGATTTCAAGAATGATTTTGATTCCTCTATACGGGGTTCAGTTACATCGAGCTGGAAATTCCCCCGATTCCGCTGTCGTCGTCGTCGTTAGAAACAACCTCCTTAAAAGCGTCCTCTGGTTAGGCTGTTTTCGTATTAATTTTTCTTCTGTCTCTTCCCGGATTATCTAGATCCCCATTGTGTATAAAGCGAGCTTTTTTTTTTATAAGAAATAGAGGGTGTGAGATTTGCCTTCAAATTGGCATGGTTATGAATTGAATAGATGAATATGGAACAATGTTTGGGCTTTGATCATTATTGACATATGCAGAATTGAATAAAACTCTTTTGTCCTTAAAAATTATTAAATTCGACCTTCTTATCACAGAAATATTTCAATATCCTGCAGAGTTGAAGATCATTAATAAATCAAGTCATCAATTTAATTAAAATAACTGAAAATTATCACGTATGGTAACCGTTGCTCACTGATAAGCCGATGCAATGTTACATAATTTATAGATGTGGCTAGATAATATCGCCTGGTGCTCTGAACATTCTTCCTATACATCCCTTATCAGTTGCCTAGTGTTCAAATCTCATTCATACAACTTTCCATGCAGCATGTCGTTCAGCGCAGACGCCCACAACCGGACTAGTAGAATCCTTGTATTTAACAGCTAGCCTTACCACTGCTTCTGTGGTGCTGCAAGTCTCCACACAAGGCTATGCAGGTAGGGGGGAACAACCAGCGAGTAATGTGCCAGGAGCTATCATTTGAGCAGCGTACGATTCATGTGTAGGGGAAGGCACTTTGGTGAAAGATATTTCATGTGCTGGGTGCATTTGCTGTCCTATATGAAGTGGCATAGCACTTCGTCCCTTTCCAGATCCCACCCGATGCTCAACAATAAAATCATGCTGAAGACTTTCCAGGAGCTGTTTAGTACTAGTATGCTGCACACTGGTACCCAATGGAACTATACCTCATTGAAATCTCTTCCCTATTCACGGCGGCTTCAACTGCCCTAATGTCATGTGTTGAACATGAGCTTGATTGCTTGATTGTCGGCTTAGGCGTGTTGAGGATTTTATTGATGTCCCCTCCCCCTCTGGGCGCCCAACGACCTGGCCGAAATGTTTCGTTCTCAACTGCAGAGTAAGCAAACCTCGGACAGGCGAAAGGGGTTGTTGAAGGGTCTACGGGCTCCTCCTACAGCTGTACTCGCCGCTTGTGATGTCTAGAGCTCTTGATAGGAGCGTAGGGTTGGATTAAATTAGACATACTGCGTAGTACTAGATATCGTCTGCATCACTCTACAAATCCTGTTTATACATCGTTTTTGACTCTCACATTCCTTTTCATATAAATACTGCTAATTTTATATATAATCACTAGAGTAGTTGATTATTAGAGAATATGTATAATTTATATTCGGTAACTTTGTGGCAATGTTCGGACATCCTGAATGCCATAAAACTTCCCAGGTTTAGTGCCATTTTGCGTCAGGCACCAGAGTAATTGGGATCCAGGGATTGTTTTGGAACGGATTTCTAGATAAAGGTTGCTCTCAGATGATAGTATGTAGTACGTCTGCAAGCACCTGAAACGAAGCTATAGCCTTCGCAATTCCAAATCCAGAGCACTGGTTGCTGCCCAATACTTTTTTCGGTGGAGCAGCAAAATCACGATGGTGTAGTTGATTCAATTGACACAAGAACGAGAACTTGAAAGAAGAGAGTGAGAAAATGGGGAAACTGTGAGGAGAGTAGAATGAAAAATCAAGAATAATGGAAGAAATATATTTGAAGAGCAGGGGGAAGATTTACATATTTACATAGTTGAGATTTAATCAGTACGCTAAATCTCATTGAGAAGGATCTAGACTGTACAAGGCAACCCCCCATCATGCGGTACTCTTAGGTAGCCCCTCCGACCCATGATCTTTTTTCCAATTAATGAAACCCTCTTTTACTTGCATTGTTCTCGACAAGGTGGCGCTGGCCACAATCACGAGAAGACAAGTAAATTCATCCCATCCCGTCCCGTTCATAATGTTCAAGCTGTTGTCATAACACTGGCATTTTTATACCAATTCAATAACGGGTTCTCGCCGCTGCGCGTTTCCGTGTCTTCGACATATGCCCAGCGTTCGAGAAAATCAGCGTGACTGGATACCCGCGTCAGCTTGCCGGTGATGGCGCGGTATACGTCTTCCATCAGGTCGAAGTCCGTTGGGAAGAATATGTCGAAGTAGCCTTGGTGGACCTGTGAGGAGGGTAGGCGCGGGGTCAGTAATCTTATTTTCAGCGGGAAGAGGGGGTATTGAAATTACAGGGGTTCAATTTGAAGTGGAGAGAGCCTTACAAATGGAGTTGAGACTGGGACGGTTGTGCGTTGATATCGTGTCTGAACAACTGGGGCGTTGTAACCAGGCGCTGCATCTGGAAGGCTGTTAAAGTCGCTCGTAACAAGCCGATGGGCGGGGAAGTAGTCATGCAGGATATCGAAAAACTGCATCAGGCGGGTGGGTATATATTCCGGTAATGTCATGTTCGGCGCAAACGGAAGGGCGGCTTGTATTTTTCTTGCAACAGGAGAGCGAAGTGGGGTAGCGAACGGTCGTCGCGCAGCAGCCTTACGAACTCGAAGATATCTCGAAGCCACACTGTCTAGGTTCGGGACGTAATATTCATAAAATTCACCATCAGTGTCGATCAGGACGCACCCTTGCCTGGGATCTCCGGTTTCTAGATCGTAACGGATTGCATCATGGCTGAAATTATCAAAGACCTCGAGCGCAAGGAAGAAACAAGGAGAATGCACGTAGGTATTCCAGTCGAATATGGAGCGATTTATGATCTCCACATGGCCCCTATGTCCGCTGGAGTGAATGGACTTATTCAGGTTCTGCTGTTGAAGATCGGCAAGAGAGGGCGAAATCTCAATGATTTTGAATTTTGTGCGCTGATAGACTTCAGGATCCACATCTCGTATGTAATCCAATACATTGAGCATCAGAGTCCCATTTCCGGCCCCCATTTCGTATATGGTTAAGTCGTGGTATGGAAATAGCGTAAGTTTGTAGTTTGCAACAAGATACCGAGCAATTGCTTCGCCATAGTATGGGCGGAAGAGCTCTGTCGGTGTGTGCCATAATTGGCGACTCTCATCGTATTCCACGGCATCCAATTTGTCCTCAAATTCCTGATATCGCTGGCCTAGTAGCCGATTAAATTCGGGTCCGTCGGCCATATTGTTGAAATCGAAAGGCTCCCCAGGACCGAAGATGGTCGCGTGCTTGGAGAAGTAGCCGTAATGAGGATTATACAAGCTGTCTGGAGAAGAGGAACAAGGAGATTAACTCATCGAAAACATAATAACAACGGGATACGGGCAACGCAATCAGTCGCGGCATGTGTAAAATACCTTCAATAAAATCCCTCGCCAGCATCTTCACACGTCTTGGTCGATGGGGGCGGGATCGTAAATCTGTAGATGTCACCATCGGATATTCCCGCAGTTCCTTGGACATGTCTCTCGGAAAGTCATCTGTTCTGTGTTTCCAGAAGGTAGGGTCTCCCAGCGTTCGCCGTCTGAGCGTCGGCTTGCTGGCATAGGTACGAGACTGATGGTGGCTTCTGGGCCGGGGTGCAAAGGGGTTATGGAGAAGGGTGCAAGGATGAGGATGGGAAATCTGACACCCTCTATGGCGAAATAACTGCCGAAATATGTGTGTCACAACGGGTGAATCCATTGCGTCGGCAGGATGAGAACTGGGGTGCTGTGTTCCCGGTCCCAATGGGCAGAAAAAGTTGACTTCGGAGCGGAGGTGGTCCAAGCTTCACCACATAAAAAATGACTTGGCAGAGCTTATTTATTCCATCTTGCAATTGCCAACACGGAACATATAGGTATATATATCTTCATTTTTTCCCAACATTGAATACATAAATGATATATTCTTGTGCGTTTTTATATCATGACAGACAATCCGCGCCTGTACATCCCTGCTGCTTTCCTCGCAGGTGTTCTTGTCGCTTTTGGAATCAGAGATACTCTATGTCTCTATTTTGAGCGCCACTCCCGGCATCGGCGACGAGAAGGTAGCAAAGATGCACAGAATGAACGACATGCGTTTGGGGGGATAGAAGCTAAAAATGGTGACATGATTGGCGACATGAAATACCGCCTACCGTGCAATCCTGGCCCACCCCCCATTGTTGATGGGATAGAAGGGTGCATCGGAAACACTCCCCTATTTAGAATAAAGTCCCTCTCTGAAGCTACGGGGTGTGAGATTCTCGCAAAGGCCGAGGTATGCATATGACGGGATCATCAATGTATTTATCGCTACATTGTGCACAACTAGGATTCTGATATGAATCCATTGCAGTTTCTCAATGGCGCTGGAGGAAGCCCTAAAGATCGTGTGGCACTGAATGTTATCCAGGTGGTCAGTCCTGAAGACTACCCATGTATAACATTATTTAAGACGCTGACCCATTCATTCAGGCGGAAGAAAAAGGTCTTCTCCACCCTTACTCTGGAGACGCCATTTACGAAGGCACCGTGGGATCTACGGGAATTTCACTCGCTACGTTGGCCAGAGCCAGGGGTTACTTAGCGCATATGTATGGTTTACCATATCACCTTTTCATCAATTGCGTATTCCCTCTATCTACATATATAGGCCATGTTCATTTATTAATGCGGCAAACCCAATAGATGCATGCCATCCGACCAATCCACAGAGAAGTCGAATCTCCTTCTCAAACTGGGCGCCATAGTCGACCGCGTACCGCCAGCCCCTATTGTAGAAACAGGACATTTTGTAAATAGAGCACGTGCTCTCGCGAAATCACACTCTTCGTCTCCAGAGTCGTCCCCAGCTCGCGCCTCTTCAAGAACCAGCCATAACCCTCCAGCCACACACGAAATAACTGAAACGCCAGATGAGGATCTGCTGGTGTCGCGAGCGGCTGGTAAACAAAGTCGAGGCTTCTTCGCCGACCAATTTGAAAATCCAGCTAATTGGCAGGCCCACTTTCGAACAACTGGCCCCGAGATCTTCGCCCAGTGCGAGAGTAAGCTAGATGTATTTGTTGCTGGTGCGGGCACTGGCGGCACGATATCAGGTGTCGCACGTTTCCTTAAGCCTCGGCTCCCCAATATGTCTGTTGTACTGGCGGATCCGCAAGGCAGTGGGCTTTTTAATCGCGTCCGTTATGGAGTTATGTTTGACGTGAAAGAGCGTGAGGGAACGCGGAGGAGGAGACAGGTGGATACTATTGTCGAGGGTATCGGGATTAACCGAGTTACCTTAAACTTTGAGGCTGGGAGGGAGTTGATCGATGATGTTGTTAGGGTCAACGATGCCCAAGCGATTGCGATGGCGAGGTGGTTGGTGGAGAAGGACGGTATATTTATTGGGAGTAGCAGCGCGGTCAATTGTAAGGTTTTTCCCAATCACTCCTTTTTTTGCATCCTTTTCATTTTGTCCAGGACAGTGATTAACCTAGATAATCAAGGCTTCGCAGCAGTTAAAACGGCCTTGAAACTCGGACCGGGACATAGGATCGTGACCATACTTTGTGATTCAGGGACGCGGCATTTATCGAAGTTCTGGGAAAAAGCTGGCAATGTTGCGGGTGCAGTTGATACGAAACTTGAAGATGTCCTCAATGCAAAGGGGAGCGAGGAGTAGACGCTATATGCCTAATAATAATGCAAATTAATTCCATGGGATATATATATATATATTGTCAAAATCTGCTATGGGCATCAAATTGAGCCGGATCGATTTGCCCGAGGTGACGCCTTAACCTTCAGCAAGCTCCGATTCCTCTGCGGATTACGAAGCTTAGGAGGCGTATCAATTTGAAACGTCGACAAGCCAGATCCACTCCAAGCAGAACCAAAAGCCTCTGAGAGAGGATCATCACTTTCAGAACTTTCATCAGCTGGTCTTAGTAGTGCACTACGAACAGAGGACGGGCTACGTGACATCGGTGAAGGCGAGGCTGTGTGAACAGTCTTCGAACGCTTCGTTGGCGAGGGAGATTTTGGCGCTAATAGTCGTTTTGGCAGTTTGGGCGGTGCCTTGAAATCTACGTCCTGACTCTGTGGAGGTAAGCAACGGGTGCTTCTCCAGGCCTCCCACATTTTCCCGAGGCATATCTCAGCCCATTTGCACTGTAACTCATTTCTCGTTTGGTTTTCAAATGCAGCTTCTAAGTCTTCCCATGACACGTCAGGTTTTGATTTGAAGGTTTCCAGTATATCCTTTTCTTTGGCTGTTAAAGGTGTTCGTGTTGGCGGGCCATTTTTGATATCGGCGGATCGAACATAGTACCAATACCTCAGCTGGCCTGAGGTTCTGTTGGGTACGGATCGGGACACCTCTTTCCATGGGAGCTTCTGTACTGCCCGTTTAATTAAGATTATTTTTATTTCATTAGGAGTGAAAGGGTTGATTGCAGTGCTCTGCTTTGCTGGTTGTGGTGCTGTGGGTATATGCGTAATTGATTTAGGGTCTGCTAAGGGTCCACCAGCTTCTGAGATAGTTGTTACCTCATTTTCAATAGTACCATTCGCTCGCAATAATGGTGATTCCACATATCTTTCCTTGTTACGCTTCGCGGAGGACCAAGGCGATGTTTCCATAATCACATTCTCTGGTTGCCGATTATTTTCCTCCTCCGTGCTTATGCCATGGTCTGGCAATGGAGAGGAAGGGCCAAGGACTCCCCTAGGCTCTTCCGTGGTTGAAGCTGGGTCGTCAATGGCATTCTTAATTATAGCAGGGATATTAATTTTGGATGGTGTTGGAAGTGAAGGAAGGCTCTCATGCAAAGGATCATCCGAATCCGAATCCGAAATAGGTCCAGAGCTTCTGGGCTTTGGAATTGATTGCAACTTTCGCGCTCCACTGGATCGGCCACAACTTGTCCGTGGTGCTTTTTTTCGACGACATTGTGGGACTGCCCATAGAGATCCGGAATTTGGTGGCGACGCTGTTCGGTTCCTGTGAAAAATTGGGAGAGGAGTGTGGAGTGGAGAAGACTTGAAAAGGCGTTCATCAATTTCTGGAGTTTGCCACAGAGCGGCTTCAGTGTGAGAGCTTGCCCTTGGGCGTCTTTGGTCAAAGTTGGCTGGGTTTCTAAGCAGGGAAATATTGTTAAGGGGCAGACTTTTCTCAGCCGGAGTGTGGTTTCCGTTGTGAGTTTCAGTATTGGCGCTATAGCTTCCAGAAGGAAATTCAAGGTTCATATTATTTCTTAAGCTTCTTTCTTCCGTCCGTGCAAGTTTTTCATTTTGGTTCATGCATTTTAAATTCGGAGCGTTCTGCGCTTCAGTGACATTTTCCGTAATGAATTCAGGCTCACCAAGAGGATCAGAGTCGTATTTCCACGGCCGAGAACCAAGGTCTTGCTCATTTCTCATCCTTTCAATATGTCCATTGTCAATGACGATATTGCCTGTCGCCAAATCAATCTCGTCTCCGACAGAACTGAAGTCCTTTCCATATTTTTCGAATATGTCTTCAAAGCGAGATTTCAATCGCAAATCATTCGCTTGACGGGCCGCGCTAACATCTATTTCAGATGCCACATCACCCACATCCGAGTCCCAGAGCCCCAATATACGCGCTCGCTTTCTTGGCCTCTCCGCATTCAACATCGTGACGATGCGTGGGGTTAAGAAACGCGGAATGCATCAGCAGAGGGCAAAGTTTATCGATACGTTGAAAAGAAATAGCGATGTCTAGGGTTGGACGGCGAACATGGTGGCGATTTCTCGCGGTGGAGGCTGTCTTCCGTATGACTCTTGTACGGTAGGGTCGCTATGGCATGTCGGTTTGAATTTGGCAGTTTATGAGGAGCTCGGAAGAAGCACGGCTCACCGCGAGCAGTCCAGATTCACTTGGAAGATGCAATATTTTTTGTAAATGTCAGTGGAGCTTCGATGGCCACGGAGATTTGATTTATTTTAAAAGATCAATTTGGCTTGACGTAGGTTGGCAATTGAAAGCATTACCTGAAGGACTCGGTCTGTTTGTTGACGTTAATCGGATCAAGGTTCGTCTGAGCCCAAAACCTTATCTAATCAATCACTCCTCTCGGCGCCAGGCCCATCAACCACTTGACCGCCAGCATCATCCATCTCTTGAAGACCATGTCAGTCATAACAGATAACTCGAAAGTAGAGCATGAGCTTAGCTTCTAAATGCTTGCACAACCCATGTTGATTCCTTACTACCCTCCATGATCGAGAGCTCTCGATCCCGCAACCATGTATTGCCAGAAATGCCGAACTCCTCTGAAGGTTGATGGTTCTCTCGAGGATTTGAACCCAGCGGCCTTCGACCTACTCATAGGTCAGTATTTAGATTCCAAAATGATGTATTCTAACTCTGACGTCTATCAGGCTCGACCGGAAAGTCATTACCTGACCCATCCAGCAAATCTACGTCACGCGCTGCGTTCCCTCCAGATCGACAGCAACGTTACGATCAAGTGTCAAGGCGAGCTACATCCCCTGTTTATAAAAGAACCGTGCCCGCACCCCGATATAGTACAGGAAACCCACTTGGACAGTCTCGAACAGGGCCGAAAGATGGACCTGGCATGTCGTTTGTCATGCTAAGTGAGTCGCAAGTGGTGCCTGCGCATACCGCTCCAACAGTGAACGGTGATGTTCGGCGACCATCAAAAGGAAGTCTACGGAACCTGTCTGAAGCACAAACAATAGAGCATGGGACCCAAACATATCCTGATCAAATTGACAAAACCACCCGTCTATTCGAGATCGTATCTGCGCGTTCTGATATCGATCACCCGATCTGTACCGAATGCACCGAGATGCTCATCGAAGGGCTTCAGAAAAGGCTACAGACCGCAACAAAGGAACGGGACGCATATGTCTCATTTTTGAAAAATTTAAATAACTCCATTCCATCTCCAGAGGAAGTACAAGCTGCTGAAGATGATCTCAAAGCAACACTACAGGCCGAGGAAGATGCCTTTCAGGAGCTTCTTGCCCTTGAGAAAGAAAAAGCTGCCGTTGACTTAGAGATTGCTGAGTTAGAGGAGGAGTCTCGCAAGCTTGACCTAGAAGAAGAGCAATTCTGGAGTGATCGCAATGCATTTGCGTTGAAACTATCCGACTTCCAGAATGAACGCGATGCTTTGAACATGAAGTACGATCATGATTCTCGGCAACTTGAACGCCTTCAGCGGACGAATGTTTATAATGACACTTTCTGCATCGGCCATGATGGGTATTTTGGCACCATTAATGGACTACGTCTTGGTCGTCTCGCAAACCTGTCCGTTGAGTGGTCCGAAATAAATGCTGCCTGGGGTCAAACCCTTCTCCTGCTTGCTACTGTCGCCGACAAACTAGGCTTCCAATTCCAAGGATACAAATTAAAACCTTTGGGCTCGACGTCAAGGATCGAAAAGATAGAATATCCCCAGCAGTCCCCGAATGCTACTACGTCTCACCGAAGCCCTTCAAGTAATCGTCCCGACACAACTCTCACACCAAAGATTACATCACTAGATCTATATTCTTCGGGTGATCTTCCCTTGCACCTCCCGTGGCTCCACCGTCGTTTCGATGCCGGTATGGTTGCATTTCTTGAATGCCTTCGCCAATTAGGTGAGCACGTGGAGCACACACCCGTATCGTTACCTTCCCGTTCCCCACCTCCTAGACTCTCCAGATATCAATCCCCAGGAATTTCTTCGCCAGCGACTCGTCTTCAAGCACAGATTTCGGGCCTCAAACTGCCGTATGAGATCAAACGGGACAAAATCGGAGATGCGAGCATTAAGCTTGGCTTCAACCAAAGTGACGAAACTTGGACCCGCGCTTGCAAGTATACACTAACGTGCTGCAAGTTCTTGCTGGCACACGCGAGCAATGTTACAAGCGCGGGATCTGGTCCTCCTGTACCAGCTACAGCCGCGATTGTGCCGAACCGTTGAGAGCCAAAGTGTACAATGTTCCGTTGGCAAGGCATGCGAAATCTCAATGTATGAGATTATGTCTATTTTTGGGTAAAATGAATAAGAACGGCAGCCTTTTACGCCCATATCTATACATAAAATGGATCAAGGCACGTTTGTTCAACCTCGAAAAGAAATATTTGCTGGGAAATCAGTCTAAGTCGTTCTGCTCAGCTCAGCTTCCTTGTACGATATCCCAACCGATTTTCAAAAAGGCCACCCTTTGCGCCATTAGCCCGATTATATCCGTCTCTTATCTGGAACCCTACTCCATTTCGCAACATTCTCTATTGGCTCCTCCACTCAACCCGTTGCTGCCTACAAGAAAAGACCTTACCAACGCTCTTCAAGTAAGATAGCCAGGTGGAAAATCAGCGGAGAAAGAAGGAGAATGTTGGGGATATGTATATATAAGGTGGAATAAGCCATCTGCGTCCGTTCAGGTGTCCCGCCTCCATCCCCTCAACTAAATCAACATATTCCGAACAAAATACCTCCGTTCCCATTAGAAACCAAAGCTTTGTAATATGGTATCATCGGTATCGTTTTTGTTAATATCTGAAAATGAAGAAAGAGAGACCTTAGGGCGCAGAAAGGATTTTGGCTACCTGGAGTTTTTCTTCTCGTGATCTAAGCATACATATATGTTCAAGCTCACATTGCAGCGATTTTACCGAGCATAAAGCCAAAAGCGGTAACCTAGATGGATCTTATGCAATAGTTTATCAATGTCGTCCTATTCTCTGTTCCGTTATTGTTATCAAGGGTGAAGAAATTTCGGTTCACTCTGGTTGTTTGAGAGACTGTATATTAGAGAACAGAAGTCTGCTACCTAAGTCAACATTCTTGACTTGAGAGTCGCCGAGGATTTTTCATTATGTGATCTTGCAAAATTGATTAATTATTGAAAAGAAATTATTGTAAGGTTCCACTCAAGAGCAACTCTGGTGACAGAAGACGTCAGTTTCCAGTTCTCAGTTCTATCTCCCCAATTAACATCTCCACCTCCGCAGGAGCTGCCGCTCGTTCAATCAGATTTCAAAACCAGCCAACTTTTGGTCAATTCGACCTAAATCTGAACATGTTAACCTTCTCGCCAAACTTGGCTGCATCCCTCATGGACAGGACTTGTTGACGAGTTCTGAGAGATACACTCACAGACTGAATAGCTCAGCAGATACGTCTCCTGCCTTTCTCAAGAATTGCCTCATGTTTAACTTTACGAACAACCCGAATTTTTAATTAATCTGCGGACACTTTGTCGTGAAGTAGAAAACAACAAATTATTTACCCTATAATGTGGGAACAACATTGTTACGGAAGGAAAAGAGAGAAAAAATATACACGAAATAGGAGACTGCTAATAGTCTCCCCTGAATGACCTCCGGCCGTTTCCTCTTCGACCTTGCCTGCCATGTTCTCTGTGACGGGCTCCTAACATACAATGCCTAGTTATCTAGGCACTTAGTAACACATGTACTTCAGGGGTAAAATAAATAAACTTTGAAGAATGAATGACAGACGCGTAAGTGAGACATGATGGATATAAGAGGAATAACGACAATCTTGGGTGTAGCGCAATGATAGGGAATCAGATACTGTAAGAAGAAATGCCCAGAACAGCGAAAATATGTTTAAGAGGAGAAGAAAGACATTCCCTGCGCACCTACCAACTACACCAAAAACCACAAAAAAAAAAAAAAAAAAAAAAAAAAGACTTAGCTTAAACCGTTGGAAACCCTTCAGCCAAAACCCGGTTGTACAAAGAAACAAAAAATAGGTAATTAACTATATATTCTTTTCAAGCAATTTTCAAGAATAGAAGGTGCTCTTCTGGAAACTCTCAGGAGAAATATCCCCCATCTTGCCCTTAAGGGCGGGCTTAGTGTAGGTAACTTTCAAACTATTTGCCCTCTGCTTCAGCTGCTCGTCAGTAGCAGAACCCGTGGCGCCTAGCACAGTATTATTCCTCGACGAAGCTAGAGGTGATGGCGCAGACACAGACTCAGACGCATCAGCACCCACCATGATAGCTTGCTGCTGCAGTTTTCGCTGGATAGTTTCCAAATAAGGGCCTGGGAGGTAACCGACGGAGCCATCACGGGCCCTGCATCGCCACCACTCCGATGGGTTCCCCATGGGATCCGATCTGCTGAGGACAGCGACAAGATCCCCCTTTTTCACGGCAAGGTCGACCCCAGCGGTATTTTGGGACTCGGGTGTGTAGTCATACATGACCCGGCAGAAGTCGAGCTTCGAAGGATCGATGACGTTTTGTTGTTGATTGCCTGGGAGCGGTTCGCCGTTCGGGCCGATCATCATGCGTTTGGCTTCGAGCTCTTGCGTGCGGGCGAGTGTGCGGATGAGCTTGCCCATAAGGTAAGGGAGGCCGAAGACAGCGACAAGGAAAAAGAAGAAGGGCTTTTTGGACGGACGGGGTGGGGCCGGGGAACCGTCAGGAAGAGTGGCTGGCATTTGGCCTTTTCCCGTGAAAACGGCAAATGCAGACGGGGTGAGTGATGTAGCGTCCGCGGGAGGTGGGCGACCAGTGAATTTTGCGATGAGGGTTCTGAACCATCTGAGGACGGTAAAGATGCCCAGGACGGAGCCTAGAGTGTTTCGAAGGTTGCCAAATTGCTCCGCAACGGACACCATAGCTAGGAAATTTTTCTGTCAGCACGAGAGATAATTTATTACCCACAAATCAGAGGGAGCCGAGGAGATATACCGAAAAAAGAGCTATGAGTTGCCATGTAGGTGCTCTCCAGCATCTGCGCAAAACCTCCAAATGCACCGACAATACTCTCGATGAGTTGGAATGTGGCTTGCGTACTCTGGTTGAAAGAGTTTGTCAAACTGTTTGGGTCTCCACCTGGCGGTATGCCGCCGTACATGCCACCGTATCCACCCATACCGCCCATGCCACCATACATACCACCATATCCCGCACCATATCCTCCATACATCGACCCCATGCCCCCAAGTCGCGAGTATGGTGACGTGTAGCTATTGTAGCCACCGTATGCACCCCCATACGGACTTTGGCCCAGACGTGACGTGCCATATGGGGAATAATTTGAGGCTGTCTGACTAACGACAGAATTGAGAGAGCTAGGTCGTGAGGGGAGATCTGGAGCGGAGGTGGTCGTTGCGGGAGAGGTAGAGGTGGTCGTAGCAGAAGTGTTGGGAAGAGGGCCTGAAACCGCGGCAGCTGCCGATTCCCGCAAGAAAAGGTGAATTGTTAGCTACGTATTGTTTCAAAATGGGCACAGAATAGAAATGCATTCCATTCCAGTTTTATTTTCGAAGGCAAGGAATGGAAGAGGGCATTATCTCACCTGCTGCGCCAGCACCAGCACCGGCTCTCTCCCATGGCTTAGGCGGCGAAGCCGATGCCATTCGTCCTCAGTCTACACGCACGCACCGCTCGTGGAAGCTCTTTTGTTACCACTCAGTAGCAGTAGAGGGTAAAGAACCCTTTGTATTTTAGGAGACTCAATGATGGGCTAATCGCGAGGAGCCCCAGACGCAATAGATAGCTCTAATCAGCGGGAAAAAGCTCGAGATGGGTTTGTGAGGTGTGGGTATTCTTCTACCTTTTCTGACCCGAGCTTCTGGAAACGATGTTGTTTGCCTGTCGCTGGGAAGCAGTTGATCTGATGCGTCAGAGGATGGTGTTTTCGTCCAGGATAACTGTGGGCCGAGGATGGGGAGGGAGGATGACTCAGCAGGGCCGGGGGACAAATTTTCAGTTGCTGGAGAGCCGAGGACGTCAACAGCCCGACGCGCGATCAATAAATCTACATCATGAAGACGAGCATTGTTAAGGCAAAGGACGGGATGGGTACGGGGAGGAATACACCAAGTCAAATTAATCAACGCCGCGCATACTGCGTTTACTTATGCCTCCCAATCCACACCACCGTTAGATGCAATTCTCTCGCCTTGCATTGAGGTCGCAGCCTTGGATCACATGCGGCGCCACCACCACCCGAATTCCAACCATAGGGGCCAATCTACGGGAAGGGTGTTCTAACGAAGAAACGATGTGTTGTCTTATCAAGATGCAATAAATCCAGTAAGAAAACCAACGCCAATGTAGAAATCCGTACCCCCTAATCAATACTCCCAACACTTTTCACTAAATCGCAACTTTGTTTCCATCATATCTCGCTTCCGTGACCACCCTTCCGTACGTCCTCTATCCAATTGGCATTTGTGATGCCTATCTCGAGTTACAGATTATAGGCGAATTCGATCCCCTTTTGTGTAATGTAACGTTTTTCGCCTTCTATCATGATGTCAGGTCAGGCCCATTCGCGACAGCTGACGACAGCAGAATAATCCTTACGTATCGAGGTAAGATGGATCCAAGCATGTCCTGGGAGCAAGCGTTCGTTCCCGGTTTCCACATATGCCTACTTGCAGTCTTCCCATATTTTCGGTCTGGGGATGGATGGTTAAATATTCGTGCATACACCGCTTGCGGAGTCTCCGGACTGGGCTATGGTTTTGTCTATTGATGGAATCGTTGCATAGTTTGTTCTTTACCAATGAATCCATAGTTAAATGCGTACGTAAGGTGAGAACGAGTAGTTAGTTATATATATATCCATAATTGGGGGGCTGAAAGAGGAAATTAAGTAAATAAATAACATCGCTCAGCTGGTATTAAAATTTTTAGCCCGAAAGAGGAAAAATAATAATAATAATAATAATAATAATAATAAAACTAAAATGTTCCGAACAATTTGGGGATGAAGAGGGGTTTGCAGAGTTGCAGAGTGCAAAACATATGTAAAATGAAAAGGATTCGTTCATAATGCTCCAACGCCAGATATACCGTATGCAGTCATTCGAACAGGGGCATATGCATTGTATATACGTATATAGATGCATGAACAACAGATATAACAAAAACAACACTTGGATAAATAGGTGTCCTTGGCTTCCCTCCGTCTAATGTTGCCTTGGGACAAGGTAACATGAAGGGAAGGTATGAAGGGATATGCAGTAACGGTAATAAAATGTTCCATTTTATTTTCCAAATCAGACGAACCTCTATTTTTGTACCTATCGTATCGTCCAGAAGCCTTTTATAATTTAAAGTTCGTCGCGATTGGGAATGCGAATTTCCCAAGACCGCGGCGGGACCGCGACTCCAAGCCAGAAATTCCACAGCCGGCTAAGCTCCAGAAGGAAGATTCTCCATCTGTGTCTCACGTTAGAAATGTCACGTTGGCTGGTGGGGATGAAGTAAGTATTGCTAACGTACGCTATAACGGGAAACTTAATCCAACGATTAAGCACATACAAATACGCCCGCCATACCACATCGAATTCTTCCCAGAAAACATCCATGATTCCCTGTTCCTGCTTTTCGATTGTGGGGTCGGGTTTAGAAGTTGTCGTTTGTGTCCACTCGCCATCATCGTCTTCTAGATCTTCTACCGAAAGAGTCTTGCGCTCATCGTTCTGATCTTTTCGCGAAGGGTTTACCTTCTCTTTATCCTGGCCTCTACCTTTAGGAGATTCAGGCTTCACATGGGAGAGTGGAGAAGCTATCGGAAGAGTTGTATGGACGGGCAGACTATCCTCCGTTCCAGACAATATCGCTTGCTCAAAGTTCTGCACAGCAGTGATACTATGCGATACCCGTCCGAGGGTATTGATGAGAGCCACCAACTCCGTCCGCCGTAGTGGGGGGTTTTCGCCGTTCTTCGTCTCGTCGAATTCGAACAAGATCTTGAGGGCCGCGCCGTACCCGGCTGTCTGCAGCTTACCCCATAACCGACATTTGTCACACCCAATACAGTCCATGAGCCGACTGACGTTGCGAAAGCGGTTGCGGAAATCCTCCTTGAGGCCGTTAGCAGCTTCATCGCGGAACATGATGGTCTCGTCGAAGATTTTCGGCTGTGATGAAATAGTGTCGACGAGTGACAAGACTTTCTGCCTCGTATCGATATCCTGTGGCGGATCGCTGGTACAGAAGGAGTACGATTGTAGGTGCTTTTGGATCTTGGACACAGCGCGAACAAGGACTGCGAAGTTGAAGTAAAGATTTGAGATGCGTTCTGGGTGGTCGTGGAGACGTTCTTTGTAGCATTGTACATTGGGGAACCACTGCCCAGTCTTTTGGTTGAAGTAGTCCCAGCATAAATGAGTGGAGATGGAGGCATGCATGCCGCTGATGATTCTGTGGAAGACACGCTTCTCTACGCATTCATCATCCAACGGATAGCCCTCATTCCGCGATGCAGCCATGACTACTTGGTCTCGTTCATGCTTGTCCACAACCTTTTTGAAATCCTTCACAGCCTGAAAATTACCAAGCGGAAACTTGAGGGGTGATTTTTGTTGAGAAGTGGGAAGTGGTTTCAGGAAGCAATTCTCCCGATATATCGCATCCCAGACATGCCTGGCCCCTTCTCCCCCGTAACCCGTAAATCTCTCTGGATTATCTAGTAAACTAACATAATCCCCTTTCGCCGTCGCGCCCTCGTCTTCAGGGACACAGTAGTCTCGTTCATCACACTCGTCATCATACTCGAAAACACAGGACTCCCCCACGTCCTCACCCAGCATACCCTGGAGTGGCTTCTCCTTTGGCCGTTCCTGCCGGAGCTCCTTCGCCGGATGTCCCGCCTTGGGGCCTTCCAGTTTGCTCAGCTCCTCCACCCGCCAGATTGGGGGAATATCGTCTTCTGAATCCAAAGTATTAACGGAGCAAGCAATATTGCCGCACATTCCCGCATCATCAGACCAGAATGGGCATTGCTTGTTAAACAGATTCAAACGGTAATAAGAAAAGAAGTCTGTGTCATGGGTGACAGATCGGATGGGGGAGGAGATTTTGTCGTTGAAGGCGTCGAGAGCAGCGAAGGAAGCACAAGCATCTGTCACGGTTGCTTTCGGATCGATCTGATCGAAAAACGGCCTGTTACACACTGATCATCCTTTATTAAAGGGGAGATTGTTGAAGTTAAAAATGTGAACATACTGCGCAGGCAGTCGGGGGGTGAGCTCTCGCTTTAGACACATGGCTGTCACCTTTAGCTGGGCTCAACCAGGTAAAGACTGCTAAGTAGAAAAGCTGAGAGGCGGAGCGCATTGCTAATCACTCCTGGAAAAATGCACTTCTAACTATTGGCTATTTCATAGGGGATATGGTGAAGTGTGTGGTATGTACGGAGTATATTCGTCTGAACTCAGGAGTTGGCGAAAGGCAGCCGATTGCTGATCCAGAAAGAGTGGGCTCGTGAGGTATAAAATGAAAATGTGTACGGAATGTCTATAGTTTGAAACGAAAGACTAGACGACAAACACTGGTAGTTACAAAAAATATCGAGCAAAAGCTGCGCAGACTTTTGTAAAAGGACGCCTGATTAAATCAAAGACCAAGCTTCAGGGGTATTCCCAATCGCGAGGTCCGGGAAGTAAATCGAAAGCGGGCAATCGCCACTTGGCCAAAGCTCCACACCGCACGATGGCTCCAATTGCTCCCTGCTTCGCCGTCAGGACCTCAAGATGCAAGGTGGCCATTAGCGATAAGTTAACGATCATCCATTTAAACCTTGGACCAGCCCGCGGCCTGGCTTAGCCTCATGCAGGGTTAGTCATGTGACAAATCTACCGCCTGATTTGTCATAGCAGAATGGAGAGATTCTCAGACATAGACGGGAATAGAAACAGGAGAGAGGTGAAATTGTTCTTCGAATGTATCCACGATGCCTCCAGAATATAATAAATCGTAATTATGTACACTCGTATTCGTTAACCAATAAGCAAAATGACACGTGCTGCGTATATCTACTCCCTCGGCCTCGGTACGGTAGTACCCCTTACAATTTTGCTTCAGTGGTTTTGTCCTTTGCCGCCTGCCACCCAAATTGTATGGACTGCCCAATTCCCGGCTCCACAATCACATTGACAATCGTAACCTTCTCATCCTCCAAGAAGCCTTCCCTTGTCGCCATTTCCAGCTCCTCCTCCGTCCGTACAAAGTATCCCCTCCCCCCACACATTGCAGCAAGATATTCATAGCGTGTCTCGTAGAGTAAACTCGTCGATCGCAGGCCTTTCTTCGCATTGGCCTCGTTGACGGTCTCATTCTGTAGATTCTTCCACTCACCCTCTGTCTTCGTGTCGCCATGGTAAATGCCCGAATTGTTCATTATGAAGATCAACGCTGGAATGCGGTGGCGAGCAAGAGTTTCAACTTCCATCGCACTGAACCCGAACGCGCTATCACCTTCCAGTGCCACGATCTTCTTCGGTGTGTGTATGTGAGTGCTGCCCGGCGATGATGGGATGTTGTACGCAGCGTGTGCGGCGACAATGTAGCCTAATCCGACCCCCATAGTGGCATTTGTTCCAGCATCAAGGCGTTGGCGCGGGTGTTCCAGTGGGAAAGCGGAGCGGGAGATGTCCATTGTATTAGCACCTTCTGAGACATATACGATGTTACCTTCTTGCGGCGGCGAGAGGGAATTTAGAGTGGTCTTGATAATGTGGTAGACACGTTGGAATGTCAGGAATTCATTGCGTTGAGTGGGAAGAAGAGCCTTCTTCTGTGAAGTATTTTCGTTTTTCGTGGCAGAAGCGGCAAGGAGGGATGGATATGAATCCGGTGATGTAGCGGACGCGGGCTTATACTGCCAGCCAGCTAGAGAGGAGAGAAGCTGCTGAGCTACCAAATTGATGTCACCCACTATTCCTAACTCCGCAACTCCAGCATTGTGCCCAATTTCCTGCGCGTTTATATCTACTTGAATAAGTTTGACAGAGCCGGACCAGCGAGGTGTTTCGCCAAAATGGAGAATCCAATTTAACCGGGCTCCAAAAAGAAGTACAACATCTGCGTGTTTCAAAGCCGTGCTTCGTGCGCTGGATGTATTGAGGGGGTGTGAATCGGGTATCACGCCCTTACCCATCGGTGTTGGTAGGAAAGGTATCCCTGTCCTCTCCACGAACTCGCGGATGGATGACTCTGCTCGTGCGTACGCTGAACCCTTCCCAACAACGACGAGGGGTGCGCGTGCTGATTTCAATAATTGTGCCACTTTCGATACAACCGCTGGATCGCCGCTAGATTTAGGAGGAGACGGGACAAGCGTAAGCTTAGGAGGTGGTAATGTAAATCCCGCCGCCGTTTTCCCCTGAATTAAATCTGCAGGGAGATCGATGAAGGTGGGGCCTGGCCTTCCATACCAACATGTTCTATACGCATTCCGAATGGCATCGTTCACTGATTCCAGCGACGACGGCCGTATAGCAAGTTTTGTGTGTGGCGTGAGGAGCGAGATTGCGTCCATCTCTTGAAAACCTCCCTTAGTTATCGTATGCGATTCCGCTGATCCAGCAAGGACTAGTAGTGGGAATGCGTTCACAGCGGCATTTCCAATCTAGAATGCATATATTTTAAAATAACAAGCATCTACTTGTTAGCATTGAAACTTTCCTAATCATCGCAATATTATATGTCATAAGAATCAACTCAAGCAGGAAACGAGGAAAAATCCATCGACTACTCACCCCAGCTATGCCGTGTAGAACCCCCGGCCCACCCACAACCAAGCAAACCCCAGGTTTTCCCGACATGTACCCGTACACGCTCGCCGCATAGCTGCATGCTTGTTCGTTCCTAAACGCAATAAACCGGATGCCCAGATTGATAGCTTCCTCCGCGACTTCCACCACCGGGATACCGACGATGCCGAAGATGACGTTGACTCCTAAGCCGTGAAGGGAGCGAGCGGCAATTTGAGCGCCAGTTAGAGATGGCATTTCTGGTTCCTGGCCCTTCTTGAAGCCGTTATTCTCCCCCTTGCACACCTATTTCTTGCTCCAATTTTGTTGGGGCTGGATTTTCGTTTGAGCCAGGATGTTAGGTGTTCTTCTGGTTTGAATCGAGTCAGCGCGAGTTCGGCGTGCAGATTAATTTTGTGGATGATACGGAACAGGCCCCTTGTTCTTCGATGAAAGCGAGCAATTGGCAAGGGAGTAGCTTAGCCTAATATATCCGTACCGGCCGAGATGTTGCTGGGTAATTACTTTAGTAGATATGGCGGAGAGAGTTGTTCCGCCTGCTATTTCTGTGACGCAACACCGGCTCCGGCTAAAGTGGCTACAAATTGCCATTTCATGTAGAGAAATACAGAAATTCCACCAAACAAGTTTTCCATATACGGATAACTTTGTACATATTTTGTTCTATTAAAAAATTATTTGTACATATTGCTCTGCCACAGGACTGATAACCTACGCAGTACACAAGCCAAGCAGCGGTAGAGCTGTGTCATAGACAACTGAGTGGATCTCTATGCATGCTTATTCGTAGGTAGCATATTTCTAGTATGAAAATGGAGGCGCCATAAATGCATTGCGTGAGTAAAAGAAAACAACATATGGTCATTGGGGAACGATATATCAATGATCGGAAAACAGTTATTGGTATTTGAGCACACTTCATATGTGCTGAAAGACATGACTCTTCATCTAAATGCTCCAGAACATCATATCTCGTGTCGAATATAGCCAATCAACCAACTCAAAATACCCCTTTCTCTCCATCACTCAATATCTAAAACTCAAACTCAGATCTGAACACGGAAACATCCATCCCACTTACAACCAAATCACTTAGATCTCGCCGGCCCATCTGGCTAAACACACGTCGAAGTGTATCATACAAATTCGTACTCTGGTTCTGAGAAATGTGAATCATGTGCTCTAGCTGAGCCTCGTCAACGCCATCGCCCACAATATCTCTAGCACGTTCTCGCCCTTCGTCCTCCACGACTTTGTGCATGGACAGCGCCCCGAGCAGATGCTGTGCTGCTTCCGGGTAGCAGCCAATATTAATACATGAGACGCCAAGATTGTATCTAGCGCGAACAAAATTGGGGTTTATAGTGAGGGCCTTCTCGTAGGCTTCGATTGCCTCCTCAGACCGGCCGGAGTTGGCGAGCGTAGCCCCGAGGCGGTTCCAAAGTAGGTGTATCTGGTCCTTCTGGTTGGAAATTCCAGATTCAGTGGACGCAAGCGCGGCAGTGAAGCAGTCAACGGCTTTGTTGTATTCCTCAGCGCCATAGAAGAGGACTCCTAGACCGACCTGGACATCAGGGTCCATCTGGTCGCCCTGAGGAGAGAGCTGCGCGGCCTGAATGAAGAGGTCGGTGACTCGTTCGTGTAAGATATGTCGGTCTGTGAAGCTCAAGTCGGTATCACCTGAGAGAGTGCTCGGGTCTACGAGTTGGGGATATTTGACTGACAACCAGCGCTCGAGGGCTCGGTACGCGGTGGAGTCATAGCCTTCGTTCGTATACGATACGGCAAGGCCCATGAGGGCATCGAGGTTATTAGGATCAAGTTTCAGGGCTTGTTCTAATGCGCGGATGGCGGGACTTTCCTTTTCATTCTGGGCCTGCGCGGATCCTAGCATCGTCCACGCTTCGATATGCTTAGGATCCTTCTGCACCGCAGCTTCGAATGCAAGCGCCGCGAGAGACAAGTTGCCGCCTTCTCTCATGATTCGTACTCCTTCTTCGAATGGGTTATTGACTGATTTGAAAGCATTCTCTTCTTCGAAGAGGTAGTCGCCCATCATAGGGTCTCTGGGATGAGTGTTAAGAGCACCATCAAAATGATCCCAGTCACCGAAATCGCCCAAATTCATATCGTCGAAATTTAGTTCTTCGTTGACCAGTTGTCTGCGAGCTGCAGTCTCAGTTTGTATGCCTTTCCATATATCTTCAAAGTGCCCGAACTCATCAGTCTCGGTGTGAACTGACCTATCGACTTCATTTAGCTCTGCCTCTATCGCCGCATTTGCTTCCGCGTCCTCATCTTTCTGTCCCGACGCCGCAATCTCTGCAAACTGTGCTTCCCAGTTTTGCTCGTCTAATTCTATCATCCTTCCTTTCCCTTTATCTTCCTGCATTGATTTCTGTGGGGAGTGGTGGTGTTGAAAACTCATGCTGTATGGTTGACTCATCATGCCCATGTATCCCGAGTTCATACCGCCATATCTCATCATTTGTGGTTGGTATGCGTTCACCATCGGTGCGGAGGAAGTCGCTGGGCTTGACGTTCCCTGCATACCATTCCGGTTATGTTGGCGGAAAAGAGCAAACTCTGCGGAATTGAACTCGGGAACCCCGGGAAACGCTCTCCCCATCCCGGGCTTAAAAGCAGCTTCCGTCCTTGCCTGTTCGCCATGATCGAACTCCGCAGCCCAGCCAGGCGAGTCCGTTCTCGGTGGAGCGGTTTGGAAATTTTCTAGT